AATGGGTCAGTTGGTTCATTACATGTTATAAAATAGTATCGAAATGCAAAAATATATGAAAACAAGGAGTCTTTTTGTAAATTAAATTTAGCACAGAAGTGGTTAAGCTGATAGTAATAGTATATTCTTTACGAAGTCCGAAGTTATATAGCAAAATTCCTTTGAAATGCCACAGTAGGCCCAATAATTGAATTTTGCGATTCCAAATTGTGGTTAACTAATACAGTGGAAAGACTGAATTTTAATTCAGACAACGAGAACCTGTTCTTCATAGAGATTACAATGGATACGTACTGCTTCAAAATATGCCACTTCGGCGTAAATAGCAGGCATAATGAAATACATTTGTGGATGTTAAATTGTTACGACATTGAATTATCTTCGTGCGGGGCTAATGAATTTAATTAGAATTTCCGAAGTATTTGTCGGAAAGTGCAGATGTGCCGGTACATTGACTGCGCTTTCAGTGACAAACAACGGTTCAACGCTCAAGTAAAACTGTAACACCGCCATCAGAGTAGGACTACAGCGCCAAGCCAAGGAAATGGCACACGCAATGACTTTACGTGTTCTTCTCACCAAGTGCACAAATTTAACTCATAATGAAATCGTATCTAGTACATGTCTATTTGCCGGTTTGTGGGTCCGCCCACACGTTTAATTCCTCGTCACCTTCTCTTTTATTACATTTCTTTTCTTCTCGGTGCTCTCCTCTGGTCCTTTTTTCCCTTCTCCTTCGCTCTCTTCCTTCCTTATTATCCTCATTTTATTTCTTCATCATCTTCTTATGCTACTTCTTTACCATCTTCCGCCTGTGTGTGCGTTTGTGCACAAATTTAATCCTTCTTCATCATATTCCTATTTTCCTATTCTTTTACTGCTTATCCTCCTCTTTTATTTCTTATCGTCTTTCTTTTCGCATTCTCCTACAAAGGCCCGGTGCGCACAAATTATGCTTTCAGAACCCGACATTGATTCACAACATTACGACACAGGATCACCAAATGTGCCGTACAGTACATCTCATTAACTCATTTACATATATGCAGAACTCATGGGAAAAGGGGCACGGAGCGTGTTCACTGTCGTAAATAAATTAGTGTGTCACCTGCTATGGCAGGGTAGCCCTGACAGGGATCCAACTTCAGCCTGTCGTTGCGACGTGCCTAGAGCTAGATCTCTCTACAGATCAGATCACTAATCCCACCCGAAATGCTGATATTTATAGGCTTATTTTCTGGTTATACATGTTTCAGCCAAATTTTACACCTCAGTATTTCAAATTGTATATTTATACAAAATTTTTACGACGTATGAAGTTCCATGCTATACTTTTATACAAATTTCTGTGACCTATAGATATTCTAAGGGTCTAATTTAGGGACAGTCCGAGATATGTATGTGGAAGTATTTATGAACCCAAGAAATTTTCTGCAATATTTTGGACTCTCGAAAATTAACCCACTGATACTCCCAATACTGGAGTGATTGGTCCAGTGATTGAGATTAGCTCTTTCTAAGGGGCCCAACTGAGGTGTCTTCCTTTCTTACCTGAAGACGGAAACAGATCCAGTTTCCCAAACGTCGTGTCCTCTATTAAATAGAATTCGGGACGATGGAAAAAGTCCAAAAACCCAGTAATTCTATGTGTCATCCACCATCCTCAGAACCCTTTAGAACCCCAATATTGTTATAAGAATA